ACGCCTAGGAAGCACGCGTTACTGGCCGCCATCCCGGCGCGGCAGGGGCTCGGGCTGGGAGCTTTTCGCTGACTACCCACTGTTCTCCATAAGCGAAACCGCATTCAGGAGGCCATGACCGGCACAACGCCCCTGCTCAATCGTCGATATCGTTCCGACTTCATCGATCATTGGAATGGAATCGATCCGGTTGCAGATACCCATGTCCATACATATTCATCACAGGCTCGGAAAGATAATTTCTCCGAGACAGGGAAATGGACCGTCCGCTTCCTGGGAATCGTTCAATTCGGAGTAAACTAGTCTGAAAGAAACGATTTTTTTTGTACGTGTACAGTCTCCAGTTTCCCATCTCTCGCTGGAAGCCGCAAAAACAGCCGCTCGCGAGGGATCTCCGCCCGGCGATCGCTCGGGCGAGCTCGATCAATGAGTAGGAGCCCCGCTCGGAAACTTGAGTTGATCGCCATGAGCTTGGCTGTGATCAAGAGGTCCGAGTGACGACCCGACAGCTGAACAACTCCTCCGTTGCGTGATGCTTCACCAAAAGGAGCCTCGAGAATGTCCGAGACGCAATGTAGCAAAAACGATACAGTTGACTCGTCCGAGGCTCATCTACGTCGTCGTTGTGACGACCGGTAGAAACCCTCCGGCCGACTGAGTGAGACCTATCCGACGAGACCCATTCGTCGGGTCAAGACTTACGATTTGGTACCCGTCCCTGCTCCGCATCATTCATTAAGAGAAGGTACTCGTCAGATATGCATTCACTCGGGAACTGCCTTTCTTCTCGAGGAGCCCGAAACTACTTTTCCGAGCTGGCCGTACAGAGGCGCGATATTTGTCGGTCAAGAATTTCTCTCTGAAGAAAAGTGCCTCTGGATGACTCCAGCAATATTTCTAATCTAATACGATATAAAGACGGGCCATTGTTTGCATCCGCGAGAGTCTGAACTCGATAAGGGCACAATCGGATACTCCGAAATGATCTGACAGTCGCGTCAGGGCGACTCTTTCAGTTCATGATGCTTCCTCCTACTGACTGAGAAAAACTCCGCCGGTCCGGCAATGTCTTCGAGTTTTTTATGAAAGGAGCTCATGAGCGCCTCGTGAACCCTGCAACAAATGGAAATGATGGGAAGCCGCCACGTGTATAGAAGATTCAGCCTTCCCCATAGCTACTCGAGACGTCTGCTGAAATTTTCCGCTGATTACGCGATCGAATGCGGACAGACTAAGAGTCTGCGCCATGGGCCGGCCACTCTCGGTTCACTTTGGACGATATGATCATCCGGCATCGTCTTGGAGAGCATCTCGAACAAGAAAAATTCTACATGCTCAGTGATCCGAGCATCTGCTTCCGCGGCAGACCTCTGTACCTTTTCGCGGAGAAGAGGTGCGAAGTCTAATATTCACGTCAGACAAGGCCGTAGTGCCAATCTACTGCGGCACCTTGATCCGGCTTTTTCTTTGGGCCAATCGTATTATAGCAAGAGCGGAAAGAGTAAGCCCGGCACCACAGACCTGGCTGCCGAGTGTATTCGGCCGACAAAGCAATCTGTCGCTCAACGTGCGATACCTCTAATCAGATATGACATAGCGTCGGTCGAATGGGGAAATGGGGTATGAAGTTTACGAGCAACTCTTCTTCCCTCGATTCTAGATGACCGCGTCAGGGATAGAGAGAACCGGAAGAACAAAGCGATGATCCTGACACCGACGATATGAGGTAGGTATGAGTAACCCAAGGCTCAGTCGTTCACGTCGAATCCGCTCCTCCGTCAGATCCCTTGCATCTGCTCTCCGCTCAGCTCCACACGCGGAGTCGACTTCCTACAATCATTGTCCACGCTCGGGAGAATTCAGAGCTGGACGGAGGTCGGCAGAAAACTGGATTAAAAATTCAAACACAGAGATCCGGATGGGAACATGGCGTCCAAGGATGAATAGGTTCCGCTCTACGAGTCTCCAAGAGTGCTTGTGTTCTTCGGACTTTCCATTCTCCGGAGTGATGTCTGAGTCCCCTGTTCAACGCTGTTGTCGAACTTCTCCGTGCATCGAAGAGCGTCAAAATCTCCGGATTGACTCGATGCTTGAACTCCTGATTATCATCCCCCTACTAATAAATCGCGACTGTCCGTGATCGCAAAAGTCTTCAGACACTCTTCAAATTCTTCTCAAAACATCGATAGTCGAGATGGAGTCAGGGCAGCGTGCTCAGGTTGAGCACGCATCCGCCGAAATAACCCGCGGGGATCTACCTCGCCTCCCAATTGTGTCACTTCGCCCGTCGCGGCGGCCCGCCCGGCATCCCCAAACGTTCCCTCGGTCACAGATTAAGCGCTTATGCTGAAGCGTTATTCGCAGATGTTGAGAAAGTCCCTACAATCCTAGATTAGGCTCATCGATATCTATTGACAGGACAAATGTCATTCATAGTAGAGGGCGAACATATTTCTCTGTGCATCCGGTCTGAGTAAGGATAAGAAGCGCGGCCCTAGGCCGGGCTCCCCAGACTGGTCATACATACGGCTCGATCAGTCGAGGCGGCAGAGTGAATGTGCTCATCCTGTAAAGCTCGGCTGCTGCAGAAGCTGATAGGTGTTGCTCGCAGATCTCTCCAAGATAATGGATGATGAACACACTGTTCGGGAGAGTGAGTGAGAGAACGCGAGCGCCGGCGGAGTAATTCTCTTCCGCTATTCGGACAACGGGCAACGCAGAGTCGGCCTTGGGAACATATTGCGTTATCTTGTGTCAGCACTAAGATCGACAGACTTTGTTGCGCTCTGGCGTCGCCTCGAAGGGCGATCCTTCCCGTAGCGAGTATCCCGAGAAGGCGAGAGCTTGCCGGGGATAGTCTCCATCGTTGATTTCGAAACGCTCGCTGGTCGAGCTCTTCCACAGGCTTTCGTGTATCAGAGCAGTCTTGCCTTCGCTCTGTCGATTTTTCGTAACTTCAACTAGACGGTTAGTTCTGTATCGCACGATTCAGATTCGGAAGCGGTGGAGCCATCCGCTAAATTTCGAGCCATTATTCTCCATTACTCCGCCGAGGATAGGTTTCTTCGAAATCGGAGGCGGGAGAAGATCCCAATACCGAGCCACAATCAACGGACTAGGAGTCCTCCAGGGGAGAGGGAGGGGACGAGAGACGAGGGGAACAAGTGAGACCTTGCAATCAAGCATCCGCTCCCCTGATGATGTCGGATCCCCTCTGAAGGAATCCGTATTGCCGCTTTCCCTCTGTTTCCCATCGACAAAGGATTCATTGGGAGTAACACATTCGGTTCGAGATATCAACACGGTGCGAGAGCCAGGCGTCGCCAAAAAAAGGGCCAATCTTGATTTTGATCGGACTACGTGAGAACGTTCCCACGTCTGCTCTGATGCGGTTTCCCCCGTGAGGGTACCCGCCCAGCCTCATTCATCCGAAGAAGGCTCATGGGCTGCCGATACGCAGTTACGAACGATGGCTTCCGATTTCGAGCTATGATCTCACGTGTTGCTCTCGTTCTCCTCCTTGAAGCTGGAGGAGGGCGCCCTTCATTCGCAATCCGATGCCGGATATATTTTCGAGCTCCAGTTGTTCCTGTTTTTTTCCTCCCGTCATTCCCCCGTCTCGACGAGAGCCTTTCATTTCAACTCAGCGTTGGCGCCAGCAGAACCAACGACGCAGCATTCGACTTCAGAGCATTTCATACAATAGCGTTTCCACATCATTTCTCGCCGAGCCGCAGTGGAGGCGGTCGGCAACGACCACGGCAACGGAAGAGTTGTTGGAGATGTTGAACGATAGCGAGGGTCCCGAGGACGTTGAGGGTGGGATCGCGGAGAGAACAAGGGGCTCAGCGAGACTTCGGCTGGCCTCGCGGACGGCGTTCGGCAGGAATCGGAAAAATGATGCAGGAGTGTTCTGGCTAGGATTGCGAGGGTAATGACAAACTTGCTGCGGAAATTGAGGGCGATCGATGCGGAGAACTTCGTCCACGACTCAGAATCCGGAGGGGAGCGCCCGCAATCCAACCTGTACCGGGCTAAGATACCCTGGGACCCCCTCGAGAAAAAACCGGGAGCAGAATCGGGCACTTCCGGGGACCGAGGCTCGAGGGACTGAGCACGCCAATCAAGGGACAATAGAACGAGACGAACAGCCAAACGAGAAAGCAGTGCAGTCGTTCGAGAGCGATGACAGCCGGAGACGCTCGGCCGGCGACCATCAACGCGAAAATCGCGTCCCGACGGAGGTTGTTCCAGTTTGCCTCTCTGTTCGTCATCGTAATGCGGCTACGCTCCGCAGAAGCATTTCGACGATGGAATACCATCATCCAGGCCGATGATGATCTTGACGGACGTGTTATTACGCTCCCTACAGAAGACGAGGCTCTCGGAGCTCGCACATACGTATCATCTGAAACACCATCACTCAGACGGGCAAACTGGCGGATATCCGGGGAAAGCGAGCGCGCGAATGGAGGAATAACGATCCGCGCATTCTCCGAGTCTCCAAGAATGACTGGCGGGGCGCACAACTGGGCATTCCGATACGGAGGGGGATGGGGCGTCAACTGCGATCCATAAATTTTGGAAATCTGCGGCCGCTCCTAGCCCCAGCAGCGCTCCACGCGAGTCGAACTGCCATTTTCTAGGTTGATGGCGCACTCTCTGCCACTCAGTCGGTTCTACGATGCCAGGGGAGTGACCTCGACGACGGCTTCGAGTATACGAGGAACAACGATGTCAGAGTGTTCGTATCGATGAGTTCTACTTCAGTCACGATCGCCTCGGAGCCATGCAAGTCAAAGGAGCCGAATACGTGTCAGGAAGAGGGCGCTGTGAATCGCGGGAAAATCAAGAGCGTACGCCCCTCACGCGGAAAGCTCGCACGCGTCCGCCGAGCTCGGAAAAAAGTCGACAACCTATGGAATCTAATTGAAAAATTTGACGATGTCTCTCTAACGAGGAAGATATACAATATTTGGTCGAATGAATATGATATAGACATGCATACACTTTCGTACCGAGCTCCGGAGTATGTTGCGGCTCTCTTGAGATTCGATCTCGAGGTTGAATTCGACGCCAAAATTCTGGACATCGGTTGCGGCACCGGGCTGGTGGGTAAAGAGCTTACGAGCCTGCACTACGTGAATGTCCATGGCGTCGACATCGCTCCGAAGATGATTCTGCTGGCGCAGGCGAAGAATTGCTATCGATCGTGTCGACTTATCGAAGACTTGCGGTGCGTCCGAGACACGTACGATGTCGTGATAATGTGCTCCGTTTTTGGCAGGGGCCATGTTTCATTGGAGAGCGCGGGGCTAGTTCCCGATTTGATTCGCGATGGAGCTCGCATAATTATTGCTCAGCTCTCTCCAGAGACGGATCTTGAGAATAAAGAACTGCAGAACTTCGCAGAGGCTATCGCAACTCGATTGAAAGCCCAAGCTCCTCGCGTTGAGCCCATTGAGAGGTACATCTCGGAACGCTCGGGTATCCTAGCTATTGTCAGCGTCGGTACTCACAATCGATAGAGGCTGGGGAGGGAACAGGAAGATCACCCTCTCAAACTAAATCCGAATGATTCAATGTTCGTACAGTCAAATCATTCAAGGGCCCAGAGCCAAGTAATATATTTTGCTCCTCCCAAATGACTCCTTGACTCGGACGAGCGAAGCCGGGACGGAGTTTTTCATTTGTGATCTCAACTCGCAGGCTTTCCCGTCCAAGTTTCAAGAACATGCCCTTCACGTGTATTCGTCGTCAGCCCGCATGCTTCTCACTTTCCACGCTAGAGACTTATGGTTTCGTACGATACAGATCCATGGCTGGTGAGATAGCAGCCTCTGAAGGCGAATAGGATGAAACTTCGCGACTAAAGTGAGGCACTCGATCATTATTAGTTGATCCTCGAAGTATGCTTTATCGGATTATTCCCTGGGAACTAATTGAGTTTGTTGGTGCAAAGTTTCAATCTAACAACCCTAATCTCAGAGCTCCCGATCCCGGTCCATAATAATAGTCCGTTCCACGACGACGCCGCCGAACCATACATCACCCCTCAAAAAAATGTCCATCCCCACGGATGAACCCACAAAAATATCAGGATCGGAGCTCACGGCACCGTCCTGAATACATCCGGGAATTTTCCCATGAGTTCCTAGATGGGGGAGTTTCTGGTCAAGCAACTAGCCCCGGCCCTCGAGTATCTCTGGACTCTGGACATGGTATCTCATTTGTCTTCATTTCTTCATGATATAACCTTTTACGAAATATTGTCTGCGGTGCTGTGCGAAATGACACACCGGGATGCCATCGGAGGAGCTTTCGCCCCACGAGACTGCGACGAGTCTTCTGTGTCATGAACTCGTTGCTCTGTTACCTCTGATCGATATTTTCACGGATGAACCCTCCGATGCGCCTTCGTTCCCTCTCTCCTCCCCCTTCTCTCCTCCGCTCCGAATTTCCCATTGGGGAAGCTCATCATTTCATCATTCGAAACCTCCACTCACTAATTTGATCGACTAGAAAAGCGAACATTACGCTGGAAGCCTCGAGGCCATCGAGACTTGAGCTGCTACGGGCAGTATGAGCTGTATGTCGAGCGTTTAACCGTAAATTGGCGCATCCAGGTTTGGGGCGTTCGCTGAGCGGGTTCGAACTCCATATGCGAGGAACTCGGAGGTTGAGGCTAATCGAGAGAGGCAGGGAATTAACCCAAGACCTGTCGCTGCCCCGATCGGGGGCGAATCATTCGTGCGATGAACCCAGGTTTGAACTCTGTCCCGAGACGGTTGGTCTGCACGGGGGCTCCCTGGATGGCGCAAAAATCGTCTGACCCTCGCTCGGCGTCGCAGGGGGCGAGCTCCCGCCCCAGATGTTGGTCCGCATGCCAGAGCCTTAGTTTTCCCATGGGACGTGCATGTCCAACTGGTGGAGCTGTCCTTTGCCCCCCCCCCTCGGGGCGGGGCTCTCTCATATGTCTCCTACTGTGCCCTCCACTCCTGCGCCTCCGGCTTATCTCATGCATCGTTGACCAACTTGTCTGTTTTCCCCATCTGGTATGTACTGCCGCTCACGCATTTTCGACAAGATCTCTTCCCCTCTCAAAAAGCAGTTGTGGAAATTCGCCCTCTGTCTCGCTTGACCCCCTGCACGGTCCCGCGAGCGACCCCACTGTGTTCATCTCCTAGTTGAATCTACTCCGCGCCGCAGTGCGGGTCTCGGGCGAGTGCCTGGGGTCTCGATTCCTAGACCCGACGTTGTTCCGGGCACGTCTCTGCGAGTCACCGCTGCCTCGTGCCAACCACGTTTTCGTACGCTCTCGTCCCTCTTCGGCCGTTCCGTCCCGCAGTGGGTCCGCTTTGCTCTAACGAGTGAGCTTTGAGCGCCGGCCGTCGCCGCCGACTCACAGAAAACCGCTCGTTTACTCGGTCTTGGAACGGTTTCGGAAACTTTCCGAAAGACGGCCTCTGGGGCGCCGGCGTTATTACTCGCCCTCCCATTCTGAGCTCGGAGAGGAACGCGAACGTTGTCCGACATCATGGACGACCCTAAAAGTATTTTTGCAACATTGCAAGGAGACAGAAAGGCTTCCCGTTTTCTCGAATGTCTCCCCTCCCCGCTCGAAGTCATTGAAGAGCCCTGGCATGGTCGCGCCACGCTGCTCCGTGAGCGGAGCTTGATGCTGTCCAACGGTTCAGGGCGTAGCAACAAATTTAAAAGAGTGAGACACATCCAGAGTGTCACACGGGATGTCGGTCCTTGCGGTGAGTGAGAGCTCTGGATTTTCGACCGGCATCCTTGGAGAGCGTTCTCAAAGCACGGAGCAGTTCAGAAATATTCGTGATAGGTGGGGAAACTGTCCGCTCCACGTTCGTATTCCCTTCGTAGTCTGTTCGCGCTTCATTCCAGATTTCACTCAACGCTCCTTACAATTTCTTCTGAATTTCATTCCCCGCTATTTGGGAATATTCCAATTCCTTCCGAGAAACTTTCAACAGCTCCTGTTGTTGAGACTTCCGCTATTTCTACCTCTCGAGAAGCAGGCCCTCTATAATTTATAGACTGCGCGGAAGCGCAGGGAAAGATTCCGAGAGTTCACCGGCGGAAAGCGTTTCATAAACTGGTGCTTTCCACCCACTTAAACGCTCCACCAGCTTCTCCCAGAGAACAGGTTCAGTGAAAAAAGCTGAGAGCACTTGCTTATTCCTCCTTCAAAGAAGAACGCTCTTCACACAGCTCGAGGAGTGTGCTTACGATTTGCCGGAGGTTGGCCGCGCCTCATTTTTTCAGCCAGACGGCCCCGGACACGATACCGTACCTGCTAGGCCACAATGACTAATGGGGTTCCATAGGATATTCGATGATTAGGCGTTAAATATTCCGCTCGATAAGTCAGCAGCCTCGTGATCGTCTGAGATGTGTGAGATGTGTCGACCACCAGTAGTCCCCTGTGTGAGCGAAAATGAGCGCAATAATTAATTGAAAATATAGAAGAGAGAAATCGTCTCGAGAGGATCTATTGAGGACCTCGAGGAACGAACTGACGACAGTACACGGAATTATTTCTCCTGGGACGAGATGCCCAAAAAAGCAGTCCGTCGTGTGTCGCTGAGGTCGGCTCTTCGTCCCCTCCACCGTCTGATCGTTTCTTCGTTTCTGCTTATCGCGCGTTACTCCGATGGTGGCTCCAACGTATTCGATCGTAAGTTCCTCCCTGCATGAAGTCGGTTTACTACTGGACAGAGGAGACTCGGGTCGACTACTGAGCTTGTCGTGTCAGGAATAGAATCACTGACGAGATAAGGAAATACGCATGGCATACGTATGTACAGCGACAGCGGGAGGAAACAAGTCGATACGGGCGAGTGCCAACACAGCTCCCCATCGACTTTCTCTCATGCCCTCTGAGAAGCTGCGGGTCGTTCGGCCAAGACTCTAGACCGCTGGAGAATGGCTTGCCGAAGTGTCTCGCCGCGTGTTACGTGTGTATCACAGGGGTCGATTCCGAGAGCTGCGGCGGATGCCGACGGATGAATCGATAAATCTCCGCCTACCCTTATCCGACGACAATCTACGCTGGAATTCGGTACAAGAAAAGGAACGGCGGGACATCCAAGAACTGCCTCGGAGCGAAAGATAGCCTCGCTTGATCGAATAAAACGGCCAGACGGTCGATGCGAGAGAATTCAAGAAACGGGGTAGAATCGAAAGAAGCGGCAAACCCTACCGAGTGCGGAACAGACCATATTCGAAATTCAGTCTCGGATGCCTCTAATCGATTGAGGACGATGGCAGTAAGCCAAGAGAGAGAAATGACTCAGAAAACGTGGAGCGCAATTGGAGTGGTCGGATATCGACTTCTGTCGGTCTTGCTGCTCGTCTCTGTACGAGACTCGGTAGTACGTGAACTTGTCCTCATGAGTCTCGCCACGGCGGACTGAGAGAGGAAAATCATTCACGGGTCTCGGGATCTGTCTTGAGATTTGACGCTCTCCCGATCCTCTCGATGAGGAAAGCTCAGTCGCGCGGGAAATCCCGGGCACAGATACGCCAGGCTCTCGACTCCAAGTTTCCGAAGTTCCATGAAGGGACCAGGTGTCTCTGGGAAGCCTCATTCGACCATAATTAGGCGTCTCATCGCCGCTCCTCCCATTCTACGGAAATGCCGAGTCGCCTTGCTCCGAGCCGATCAAAGTTCGACTGCTCGAAGTTCTCGCCTTGAGTCACGTTAGTGGACAAAAAAAGTCCCGTGGAAACACGCGAACGTGATTTTATTCCAGGCACGAACTCGCGCCCGTGTTCCGGTCTCGCGAGGGTAGCCGCGTCCGCCAACGAAGCGAGGCAGGCCTAATTTGCCGCATCTCTCGATTCTAGGGGAGAACTGGAGAAAAGGAAGAGCCTCACTATCGGTTATTGAGGTTTTCTTGCCTCCATCAGTGACTCTTAGTTTGTGATCTTAGACACACAGCAGTCCCTCGGATCGATGGATTGGTTCGGGTCGATTCCTAGGCGTTTTTCCCAGAAGAAACGCGCCTGCCCTTGAGGGCTTCTCCGTAGGAGAATTCAGGAGGAATGCCTTATCGTTCGTCGCCGTGCCGACCGGTCCCTGTTGACTGCTCCCGGACATCGGGAAAAAAGCCTCCTAGGAGGCGGAACGCTGTCTGCACCCGTCGTCAACACAAAGTCGTTGTTGTTGTTCTGCTTCTGGGACAAACATGCAACACGCGGCTGGAACGCTGCAAAAAGATCCGGCGAAGTAGAAACGAGGTTCTCCCGAGTGGAAAAGTATAGGGCGGAGCTCGAACCGATATTTGTCCCTCTCCCCGACTACACAAAACACATCCACTGCTTTCATTTCCCTCACGGATAGTTCAAATATAGACGATTGTGGACGTTTTCTGTCTCTTTTCAAGGCTCGGAAGCAGAAGAATTTTCGTCCTTGAGAGTTCAGCTCTCTACTATGGGACGTGCGAGCGGCGCGTTCTCGACAAAAATATTCTTCTGATATCTGCAACTGATAGAACATGGA